GTAACACGGGGTGTTACAACATGTGATTCATCTGTGTTGCCATGTACTCTAACTTGTCTCTTGGGTCTAGAATGTTTGCAAAGAATATCATCAAGTTCATTTTATCTATATCCCCCCAATATTTCTCAAACTTAGCCTTCATATTTTCTCCCATCAGTTTCACAGAACCCTAGCTTCCACCATGCCATTCAAGAGGCAGTATAAATCAGAAATTTCAGAAAAGAAAGTGTTAGAAGTGACATATAAAGAACCAGAAATTCTTATTGTCATATCATAAAAACATTTCAAGATCTCCACCAAACTCTTCACAGACTCCCAATCAAGAAAATTAGGAACAACATCAGACATATCTGATTTGTAGGCAGTATCACTTTCTTCAAGTGACTCAAACACTTTCTCATATGTATTGCAGATTGTAACATAAGATATGTAGAGTTCCATCTGGTTGGAACATCTAGACACAAAGAAGATTTCTGTTCAATCCCATTCCACTCAGCCAAGTTCCTAAATTTCTTAAGTCTAGCAGGTGAACTCCTCACATATCTTACAGCCTCCCTTACCCTCTTCACAGAAGCATCACATTGTTTCAGGCCATCTTGGACAACAAGGTTCAGAATATGGGCAATACATCTCATGTGAATATACTTGCCCTTCACAGTAGATGTTCTCCAAGACATCAATTTCTTTTTTAAAAATCCTATAGCAGTGTCATTAGATGAAGCATTGTCTACAGTTATACTATACACATTCCTAATCCCCCAATCAAGCAAATAGGTTTCAAGGACTTTTGCTACAGCCTCACCCTTATGTGATGTAATAGGGACAAATGAGATAATCTTCTTGTTAAGCTTCCACTCTTCATCTATAAAATGGGCAGTCACTACCATGTAGTTAATTCTCTGAATAGAAGTCCAAGTGTCAGTTGTAATACTGACTCTTTGAGTGTTCCCCCTAAAAACACATTTCAACTTCAATCTTTCCTCTTCATAAATCAGATTGATGTCCCTACTAATTGTCCATCTAGATCGAATCTTAAACCTAGGACAAGCCACCAGAATGAACTTCCTAAACCCTGGACCCTCCACAAATCTAAAAGGCAGTTCATCAATTATAATCATTTCAACCAAGACCCTAATAGCTTCCTGGTTAAAGACCCAAGTTCCTAACTCACCAACAGTAGCAGGAGATGCATAAGAATTTGTAATAGCTTGAAAGGTTAACAATGATTGTCTAGTGTCTTTAGAGTGGGGGTTTTTTTTAGACAGCTAAGCATGTGGTTTCTCAAGGAGGTAGTACTATGCTTTTTAGATTGACATTGATATATTTTGGCACAATATATACACTTGCCTTTGATAGTAACACCAGTACTATCCTTAATTTTTTCATAATGATCCCACACTGGAGATCTGGACTCAACAATCTTCCTCTTCTTCTCAGGAACTGCAGTAGTAGGTTGCACATTCTTCATAGGGACTTTAAGGAATTAACTATTAAGGGTCATACATCCATAAACTTATAACTTATAAGTTATAATCTATACAGGCATACAGGGATACAATCACAGTATCACATTAATCACACAAAGTGACAAAGAAATCCAGAAATCAGGAACCTGTTAGCCTGAACTGTACATTCATCATTTTACTGGATTTCACAGTTGGTAGTTACAATTGGGGCTTCCACCATTTTCACCAACACTGAACAACCAACAGGGGTTAGGGACTTAGGGGCTTCCATAAACAATACAAACAAATCATACAATCACAACTAAGTGATTCTAAAAAGTCTCAACAGATTGACATTGTCACAGTCCACATACTCATAGAAACCCTAATCAAAGGATCAAAAATTCACAAATAAGGGACAACTGGACAAGTGACATGCCATCCGGAACTTCTCAACAGATTCACATTGTCACAGTCCACATAATCATAGATTGATCAGTCATAGAAACCCTAATCAAAGATTCAAAGGATTAAAAATTCACTAATAAGAGACATGTGACAAGCCATCCGGAACTTCTCAACAGATTCACATTGTCACATTCCACATAATCATAGAAACCCTAATCAAAGGATCAAAAATTCACAAATAAGGGACAAGTGACATGCAATCCGGAACTTCTCAACAGATTCACATTGTCACAGTCATCAGAATCATACAATCACAACTAACACCAAAGTATCACAACATATAAGAGTATAATCTAAGTATGTCTAAGATTAGGGTTTAGAGATTACTTCGTTTCTCCAAATCAAACCCCCGAGAACAAAGGGCTTCAAATCCGTTAGACCGTGACAGCACTCTACAATCCACCGCACCGGCCACTGGACACCGGTCGTCCAGAATAGGGCTTCCACCGAACAATATTACCTAGCTTCCACCTGAGACTCACACTCTCACTCTCTAACTGAGCAAGTCTACAACTCTAGAAGAAACTCAGAGAAAACGAGAGAACTCAGAGTCTCACACTCTCATAGAATTAGAGAACTGGAGAAGAAACTAAGAAAGAAGTAAGAACTAACTAGGGTTTCAGATTTCAGATGAGAAAGACGAGACTCACGAGAGAACGAGTCTAGAGAGTTCTCAGAGAGTCAGAGGTCAGAAGAAAGAAGAGGAAGCTGCGCAAATGAGTGGAATGGCTAGGGTTTCCATCGAACGCAACATATATACACTGCTAGAACGACGTCGTATACCTTAGGGTATACGAACCCTTACCCTAATTCGGGTAGTCGGACGGGTTCGGGGGGATTTTATAACCCCCAACCCGCCTCCTACTAACCGTCTTTGTTTCGTCATGTCGGTTCGGGTAATGAGGTTCGGGTTCGGATTGCCCCAATAGTATATACTCGGGTTCGGGTCGGTCGGGTTATTCGGGTGGGTCGGTTTTTGCACAGCCCTATAACCCACTGCTAAGTTCTAAATTGCACTTACTTCCAATAGCTATTAGTATTAATTTTTACTATATAAATGGAGGAGGAATGTTAGAAATTTATATAGTAATGGAAATTAAAGTTTCAGATGTACTACCATAAAAGTTTAAATAATATTTGGAGTTGTGGAGTTATAAATATTATTTTAGTTTGGTAGAAAGTAAAATGGGAAATATGATTTTATGTATGGTTGAAACCGAAAGTTCTCAGATTGATTGGAGTTGGATAATTGCATTGCTTAAGGAGTAGATGTCCTTCCGTTCTCTTCGTTGGTTACACGAAACTTTGGTTCGTGTGAAGCATGTATTGTACCTTCTCATGGTCACTCACCTTTCTTCTTTCGGCAAAATGAAACTTTCGACCATTTTGAATGTTTCGGCCAAATGAAAGTTTGGGCCATGGTAATTAACGAAAGTTAATTTGACAAAGCCTTTTTTGTTTGGTTTGTGGTTGCTGCATGGTGTATGTATTATATATATATATATATATATATATATATATATATATATATATATTATTAGTTTCGTTATTTTGCACGAGAACATGCAATAAAGTTACTAATATATATATATATATATATATATATATATATATATATATATATATATATTTGTATGCAGTGCATGAACCTACGAAGGTCGTCCATGTATTATAACATATATATGGTTCAAAGTTTTCTCATGTCTGATATATCAGATAAGATATATCTTATGAAAGTTAAGTTTTAAATTTAAATAATTAACTTCCATGTAACATCTCCAAACTGCTGTATTTACATCTATAAATACTTGGAGAAATGTCTGAAAAAAACTTGCATAAGACTGAGATATTTCACAGTACTGCATTTCTACAGGAAGTTCTTAAACAGAGTAACTTAAGAATTTCATCATCTTCTTGTATCCCATAAGATTAAATCTTGAACCTTATCCCAAAAGTAAGGTATTTGTTTGGCAGAGTTGACAAGCCCAGAATAACAATGACACAACTCAATCAACTGTAGAGTGAGTATATCTCTGAAATTAGAAGGGATTGCTTCCAATTCATAACATTCTTTAAGAATTAATTAGGGAAATCATTATCACCAGTGGCTTCCCAGCGCCTCAAATTTGATCCGTAAATAAGCAATGATTTTAACTGACCAAAACTACCTTCAGTTAGTTCCCAATGTTGTCCTTGGCAAGCTCCATTTATAAGTTTAAGCACCTAGAGGTTAGGCAACATACCAATAACTAGCCATAGCATCCCATACCATCTACTGGAAGTAAAATAGGATACAAGTGTCTGCTTTCAATTTTGAGTTCCTCAAGTTGAGGTAAATACCACAAATTATCCAAACAATTCGGCTCTCCATGAAAATTGCCATCACTTTTGCATTCGGAATCCTCAAAAACACTTGCTCTGTACATTGGAATGGGCGCAACCATTGAAGTGTCTGTATGTATTGATGAACCACAGTTGGAGTACCCAACACAAATGTTGGGTATTCCAAAGGATTAGGGTCGTCGTCTGCACTATTTATGTTGGGTATTCCAAAGGATTAGGGTCGTCGTCTGCACTATTTTCTAAAACCACTGTTAATTTCAATCCTTTAACACTGGTAAACTGTTAAGAGACATGGATGGGCACAGAGCTAGGTATCTCAAAAGAATTAGATCCGTAACATATGAAGGTACATTAATGAAGTTGAGAGAACCTAAATGTACTACTCTCAATCTCTTGAAATGAGAGGTTGCAGGAAGTTGATAAACTTTTGGAGTCATATGATCATCATCATCATGAAAGCAAAAGAGGGAACCAAACCTGTTGATGGCAGTGTGCACATCAAGATTAGGATTCATTGATTCTAAACATAACCAACGTTGAGTCGTCCTTAAAGATGGACCTGGTGAACACTTCCAGCTAATAATCTAGATATTGCTTGCCACTTAATAATGATTGAAATATAAAGTAGGAAAGAATTGAAATTTAAAAAAAAATGTATGGTACTATTGATAAATAGTAGCATAACAAATTTCACCTTATCAGTTGTGGGTTATCTGATCTGGTGCATCCATATCTATACATAAGTCCACACTGATAGATCTAAGTTGTTTATTTACAAATTAAATAAAGTCTAATACTACTTGGAGACGTGCTTACGCAGAAGCTTTAGCGTCATCACAAATTGGAGGGACGTTTTTGCCAGAGAGTGTTGGCTTCACGTTGTGACATTCCGATATGGCGCTGCCGTTGGTTCCATGGTATTCCAAGTTCACCCCGCACATCACTACTTTTTCACACGGTACTCCAGGGCTGCATAGTAACTTCACTGCCACCTTCGTCGCCGACGTCCCCTTTATGTCCTTGAAGCTAACGTCGCTGATCTTTACTTTCGACGGGGCGCCAACCTTGCATTGATTCCAGGGGCAGTATTGCTGATCGATCAAAATTGGGTTGCTCACGTTGTCCATCGTTACATCTTTGAAGTGCATGCCGGTGGCGACGCCCTCTGGAGATGCCGGCCACGTCTTGATCCTAACTCCGAACATAGTATTGGTGAGTTTGCAGTGTTTGATGCACACGTCCTCCACCGGTTGTTCGTTAGGGTATCTTCCTAAACTTTCGATACTGATTCCGTGGCCTGGGCCGCACTTCACATTTTCGATGGTCACCTTCTTGGCGCCATCCCCGAAGGAGATACAGTCATCGCCGGTCTTAATTTCGGCACCGTCCTCCGTAACCCCTTCGGAACGCCCGATGTGGATTCCGTCGGTGTTTGCGCTGTCCGACGGCGCATGGATATTGATTTTATTCAACGTCAGGTTCTTGCATTGTATCACATTCATGTGGAAAAACTTGCTGTCCATAGACTTTATTCCTTTCACCACCGAGTTCGTCAACGTACCCAAGTTCATGTTCTATTTAAAAATAATAAGTTAAAGCAAAGAAAATAATAATAAAATCATATCCATGATGAGATCGAGTACTTACAATGGGGAGGTTTTTACAAAGGGGAGCATCGAAATTCTGCTTACAATTGTTTATCTTCCAGGCGGCGGAACCTTGGCCGTCATAACTACCGCCGGAAATTGCTGATGAGGTTATGGCCGAGAATAGTTTGGCCCAAATCAAGATTTCTAGACCCAACTTTTGTTTTAATAAGGAGGATAGGACATTTGATCAAATTCAATTGTTGAAATCTACTTCGGCTAGTCTTTTGGGATCACGAGATTTAGAAGGTTTATTGAGTCCGAGGGTCTCATCTCAGATTCATGGGACGGGATCAGATTATGGGCCTAGTGAGGAGTGGTCTGAGGATGATGGTTATGAAGATGAGGGGTATGATGAGTATGATAGGAGCTTTGTGAGCGCCGGAGGGCGCAAGGCTGGACAGCTAGGAAGTGGGCGCGCAAGGAGGCGAGGCCACTATGAATTTTCGTTTAGATTCTGAGTGATGGATTTTGTTGTCGGTTCACCTTGAGACATGGTGTGGTCCAGTGTCTTTTCTTGTTTTGCTTGGTTTGGTATTAATAAAACATAAAAAAAATTAAAAAACTTCAGTCAAGCATCCTTAACTGATCGAGCCACATAAAATGGGACGGAGGGAGTATATATATAAGGTAAGGTTCAAGTGTGGACACTCTCCACCATGAGGACTGTGGACTAATATCAACCTTAGCATAATGAAGATCAATGGCTGTTATTGCACATTATGACGCAATAAAATTCATGAAATGAACATGGTAAGATTAGCCTATTATTTACGCATAGGGGTACGTAAAACGGTAAAGACCATCCCATAGTGGAAGTTTTCTCCAAGGAAGATGCGAGATTCTCGATAGATATGTTTCTGTTGCCTTCCTTAATCAACTAAACTTCCTCAACCATGCATTTAATTAGATTGTTGTGTGCATCTGCTCCTTAGTATGTTTGTGCATCGGCATTGCATGAATTTTTTTGGGATTTGTACCGCACTGTAAATAGTTTTACTGTGCACTTGTGCGGAAGACAAGGTGTTAATAACAAAGGACATACATAGAGAGATTAGCGCATTTGGCGTGCACCTGATTTTCCTGTCCTTGAGCAATGTTATGAATTGAAAGCAATCCCTTGTGATTTAATTTTGAAGAAATACTCACCCTACACTTGATTGAGTTGTGTGTACTTTAATAATTTAGTCCATTAGCATTAGTCAAATAAATAAAATAAATTAATCTATTTTACAAAAAAAAAAAAAAAAAATTCAGTTATATTTAAGTGACTGACACTTACACCAAATATGGCATTTAGCAGCGGTTACAAACCGTCACTACTGTGTTTCTCGTCGGTTATTCAACCATGACTAAATAGTGTGTCGGGAAGGATTTAGCGGCAGTTTTCCACAACTGCGAGAATTAACGGGAAACTTATTTCACGGCGGTTTTAAAACCGCCGCTAATATTTCTTTAATATTTACTCTAAATTTTAGCGACAATTTTAAAACATTCCTCGGAGTATGTCTGAATAAAATTTCTCAGTTCTAGGACTTGGCTGCTCTGCAGAGAGCAACCAGATTCCTTCCTGCTCCAACATCATCGTCATCTCTATTTTAAGGGAGCGTGTGGAGTGGACAATTCCACATTTTATCACAAAAGTATTTTAATTTATAGATCTTAGAGTAATTTCTTAAGGCCATTACATTCAATCTATTTGTGAACTTGGTTCATGTTTTCATAAGTGTGGTGGATTCTACACCAATATAATAAAGTTGGTGGTATGAGCAAAATGATAGAAATTTATGCAGTAATAAGTGATTTATTATGTATTTAATTACCGAAAGTCTAGGAGGTAACATTTGGTGGTATATATAACTTTGTATATTTTATTTTAAATCTTGTAGAAATTTTATTGATAAAAATATTAGTTTCAAATAATATTTGAATATGAAATATCAAAACTAAAGAGGGTTATGAAGTATAAATATAAGAAATTATTAAATTATTCATGTACTAAGAAAAATCCTAATTGAAGTTTAACAAAGGTGTTGCCCTATTGCTCTAAGTATTGAAGTTGCACCTTATTTGAAAAGTGAAGGGCATATTGAAATAATAAAAAGGGAGAAGTGTTAAATAGCCCTATCTACTATGGCGAAGTGTTCAATTCCACCCACGAACTAAAATATAGTGTAATCAGCCCAATTAACTTTCTAAATTTGTTCGTTTATCCTGTTTCGTAGGTAACCACCAAGTTGCCTCTCACTGCTGGTTGACGTGGAAATATTACTTAATATGACATGGAATTTTAGCAAACCCTAGAGTTTAATGAGCCACGTCCTTCTCTTCTTCGTCTTCTTATTGAACGAAAATTGTTCTCCAGTCTTGAAGCATCATTTGTGATTCTCCTCACAGAGCTGTGTTTCGTCTTCAAAGTCAATAAAGCTGGGTTTCGTCCATATAATGTCAACAGAGCTGGGTTTCGTCTTCAAAGTCTAGCTTCAACGGTATAATATCATCATCATCGGCTTCATCTAGTGTGCGGACGAACTTGGAGTATGAGCCTCCTATATACTATAGGTGTGGATTGAAGGCTCCAATCCGCACAACCCGAGAATCTGGGAAGAAATTTTATGGATGTCAAAGGTGGAAGGTGCATTTATATCCATAATTTTATAGATTGTTGTTATTTTTGGACTGAGACTTTTTAAAAAATTTGTTCAGGTGGGTTTTGGGTGCGGTTTTTTCGTATGGAAAGAAACTGAAAACGCAAGTGGAATGGACGAATTGAAGAAATTGGTTGTAAGCATGAGGGCTGACTTGATGAGTGAAATAGGTGTTCTACGTGCAATAGTTGAGAGTGAAGTGCAGAGGAGGAAATTGAAGGAGAAAAAAGATGCAAAGAGAAAGTGTTTTTTGATTTCTTTATTAATGGTGTTACTATTAGTGAAGATTATGTTGTAGTGAATCTTGTAACCTCTAGTTAAGATTATGTTGTAGTTGTTAGTGAATAAAATGACATTTTGCAAACATTGAGCATTTTGTTTCTTTGAATCAAATGGCCAGTAGCAGTGCTTGTAGTAACATTGAGCATTTTGTTTCTTGTAGTGTTATTATGGGATTTATGCATCTGCTTTTACTCACTGTGAGATTAGGAAAGCAGTAGCAGTGATTTTTATTGTTATTGGTTTTTTTTTCTTTCTAATGGACACATGAATGTATATCTAGTGTATGATCTTAAAATACACTGCCAAACTTCAACTTCTCTGCCAAACAAAAACTTCACTGCTAAACATCTACTTCACTGCCAATTTCCAAACAAAAACACTGCCAAAGTAAAATAGCACAAAACATACTGCATTAATGCATTAACACTAAAAGTTAGAGTTGCCAAAAAATTCAGCCTTGTCTACACAAACATACTGCCTTGTTTACCAAAATATACTACTAATACTAACAGTTACAAGCCAAGGCAAAACATTGCTACTAAGATAAATACATCAGAGTTAATTCCCTCCACTTGAACTGTTGGCAATGCTACCTGTGCTAGGTGTGTTGGTCCTACCCCTTCTAGGTTTATATATCACTCGTTGACTTGGTAGTCCACACTATTCAAAAATAAAACAAGATGTTAATTATCTACAAAGTAAGATAACAATAGTGCAAGTAAATTAGTCTACATGATTCCTTACATTTAGTGTGACTTCTCTAGTGTGTGGATTTGTATATATAGCAAGGCCACCTCTTCTTCCTCTTGCATTTGAACTTCCTCCTCGTACAACAGCTATATTAGAACTCCCTCCTCTTGCATTTGAACTGCCAGTCTGCCTTGGTAGAGTATGACAATTACGTTTGTTGTGTCCCTTTTGCTTACACAGTGCACAAGTCATAACTCTTCCCTTTCTGGACAACTGAGTAGTGGACTGTGAAGGCCTAGGTTCTGATTCTTCTTTCTTTCTTCTTTTCTTAGGCCTTCCATTCATCTTCTTGGGAGCAGATGCATGTAGCTTCTCATTTTGAGTTTTTAGCCAAAAGATCTCACCATTTATGGGTTGCATCACATGTGAATATGTTCTGATATACACATCGTTAGAGTACCAATCATGCACAAACTCTTCTGGTTGTTTTCCTTTGTCAAAAATAGCACAAATTGCATGTGCACATGTGATACCAGTGAGATCCCAATACCTGCAAGAACAACTCCTCCTTTGACTGCTGACCTTAAACTGATGCTTCCCCTTCTTTATCTCATATCCATCATCACCATTGAAATCAACCTCCCATCCAACACTCTCAAGAATATTATCATTTAATTTCTTCATAATAAAGGACCCAAACTGCCCATTCCACTTTTCAACAGAAGACTTCTTTGCACCAATCCTCTTCATCATTCCAACACTAATGTCTTCTAACATTGAAACTATTGGTTTTGACCTAGCCTTTAAGAGTGTGTTGTTGAAGGCTTCTGAAAGGTTATTGTCCACAATTTCACACTTAACCTCTGTTCTAAAAAAGGCTTTACACCACATCTTCATTGGGTATTTTGTCCAAGTCTTTCCTTGCTTTGATGTCTATCTTCTCTAATGCCTTGAGTTCTTTTTCAAGTTGTGCTTTAGTGGTAGGCTTAGCAATCTGCGAGAAGTGTTTTTTCATAACCTTAATTGCCTATATGACTTTTACTACAGTTAGCATGGACATGCCTTGCACAATTCCTATTCTCAATCCCACGAAATAATTCTGCAATTATTTTACTTAGACCCTGCAAAATAGAATACACAATCAATTATAGGCAACAACCAGTAAATTAAGTAGTAAATTAACCAATACAAATCTGAAATCATCTCTAATATAGAATACCTTTTGTTGATCACTCATAATTGTCCAATCACTATTGTCCGACATCCCTAGATCTGCCTCACATCATACTGTTACTGATCCTGTGTCTCTAACCACCTGCTCATATTATACAGGACCTGACGAGATTGTTTTGGGAGATGGTAAGTCATTTAATATTTCACATACTGGGTGTGTCTCTCTACCATCTGCAAATCGGTCGCTTGTCTTGTCCGATGTTTTGTGCGTGCCTAAGTTACAAAAGAACTTAATTTCTGTTTCCAAACTTTGCAAATCTAATCCCATTTCGGTTGAATTCTTTGCCTCTCATTTTGTTGTTAAGGATCGTCGGTCGGGAACACACCTAGTACGAGGTCCGGTCGTGAATGAGGTTTACAGTCTTCCAGTCCAGCGTTCTGAAGTCAATGTGACTTCCAAGTCCTCAATTCCAAGGTGGAATCATCAATTTGGTCATCCATCCCATAAAGTTTTAGCCTCTATTCTAAAAAATAATAATATAAGTTTTGATCGCCAGACACTTGACTCATTTACTTGTACTTCGTGTCATATGCATAAGAGTCATAAATTGTCATTTTCCTTTAATTCCATGTCTAGTTCACAACCTTTACAACTTGTTTACACTGATGTGTGGAGTTCATCAACCACGTCGGTTGGTGGGTTCCGATATTACATTAATTTTGTTGACCATTTCACAAAATACGTTTGGTTGTTCCCTCTTAAAGTCTAAGATAACTCTAACACCGCTTCTGTCTCGCCTACTCCACTATTTGCTCCGGCTTTAGATTAACAACCCACACAGCAATCACCAAACATTTCTTCTTCCGCTCATGTGTTATCTGATCCTGCCCTGTCTGCGGCGCAATCTCAGCTACCGTCTGTCCCTGAAGTTTTGGAGTCCTCCTCACAGCCAAACGTGTAAGTGTCCTTACCATCTCCTGAGCAGACGACCAACCAACTATTGTGGCCAGGCCGTGATGGTAGCGACGCTCAAATCCTAAATATTTTAATGACAAATTGGTGAATGTGACGACAACACATCTTATTGCCTCATCTGTTGGACCACGAACAGTGTCACAAGCCTTGCAGAATGAATTGTGGAGGACTGCTATGTCTGAGGAGTTTAATGAATTAGTGAGGAATTCCACGTGGGAATTAGACCCTCAAGCTAATCATGAAGTGGTTGGCTGTAAGTGGATTTTTCGGGTGAAGCGTAGAGCCGATGGCTCGGTGGATAGGTTCAAAGCCCGGTTGGTAGCAAAAGGTTTTTTGCAAGAGCCGGGTCGAGATTATTTCAAGACTTTCAGTCATGTGGTAAAACCAGTCACTATTCGTGTTATTCTTACAATTGCTTTGCCACAGGGATGGTTGTTACGCCAACTGGATGTCAACAACGCCTTCTTGAATGGTACTTTGTATGAAGAGGTCTATATGGAGTAGCTAAAAGGTTTTGTTTATTCGGTTTTGCCCAACCATGTATGCAAGTTGAAAAAGGCAATTTACGATTTAAAGCAAGCCCCGCGGGCTTGGTACTTAGAGCTATTTAATTTTCTTATTGCCTATGGTTTTAAGAAGTCTGTAGCTGATTCGTCCTTATTTATTTATTATACTGATTCTGTAGTTGTGTATTTCCTGGTGTATGTTGACGACATCATCCTAACAGGAAGCCACTTTTCTTTCATTGCTTCGTTTGTGCGGTGCCTAGCTGATCGGTTTTCACTTAAGGACTTGGGTCCGCTCCATCACATTCTTGGTGTTGAGGTGGTTCCTACGTTTGATGGATTATTCTTGTCACATAGTCAGTACGTGATTGATATTTTGGACCAGTTCGGTATGACGGGGCGAAGGAAGTTTCAACGCCAATGTCACCCTCGATGGACTTATGTGTTGATACTTCTCCAACCTTTGATGCGACGATGTATCGCCAGGCTATAGTTCGGTTGCAGTATTTGGTCATTACAAGACCAGAGATTTCCTTTGCAGTGAATCGTCTAGCACAATTTATGGCGTTCCCAGCTGAGGTGCATTGGCAGTCTGTGAAGCGAATTTTGCATTATTTGAAAGGTACTGTTCACTATGGTTTGCACTTTCGGGGAGGTCCTTCTAGTTCTCTTTTGGCTTATTCTGACTCGGACTGGGGAAGTCTTAATGATGGGGGTCGCTCTACGACGGCATATGTTGTGTTTTTTGGTGCCAATGTTCTCTCCTAGAGATCTGTTAAACAACGATATGTATGTCTCGGTCTTCTACGGAAGCTAAGTTTCGGGCACTTGCTAACTGTGTTGCTGAGGTCATGTGGATTCAAAATTTTTTAAATGAGCTTGGGGTTCGGTTACAACGTTCGCATGTGCTGGTTACTGATAATTTAAATGATTCGTATATGTGAAAGAATCCAGTTTTTCACTCCCGGATGAAACACTTGGCACTCGATTATTTTTTTGTTTGTGAGCAAGTTAGTTCAGACTCTCTACGGGTCAAACATGTCCAGTCTTCTGATCAGGTTACTGATATCTTGAGAAAGCCATTGGGCCACCGCTTGTTTGCTGGTTTTCGTAACAAGATTGGTCTCACTAATGGTGCGCCAATCTTGCGGGGGCTTGTTAAGACTTAGTAGTTTATTGTTAGTAATAGTAGGCCCAGGGACGGAGCTAGAAAATTAATTGAGTGGGGGCGAAATTTAAATGGCGATAGAAATTTCAATTACACAATATCAAACAGCCATAATAAGATTAAAATACAAAATACTTTAAAAATTACAATAAAATATTTTTATAGATTATACGATAGTTAGAGTCGAAGTCAAAAATATACTTGTGGGGTGAAAATGTGAAAATATTTATGACAAAATATGAAACGTAATCAATTAAATAAAAATTTTTGAATAACACTATATTCATAAATACTTTTAAATTTTAATTTTTTTTTTAGTTAGATCAACTTTAAGTTTTTCTAAATTAATTTGAATACAATGAAGTAGACTAATGAAGTAAATCAACTAGTAAATTAATTCGAATAAATTTATATGAAGTATAATATAAACTTGTGTACTACATTAATTAAATGATTCATAAAAGTAGATTAAAAAAATATTGAATTTTACTTGGAAAGGAATGAAAGAAATAAAATAAACAAGTGTTGTTAAGGAGTTTTGAACCCATGACCATCTACTATCTATTAAATTTAAATTTAGAGATCAACCAACTAAGCTACTCAAATAATTAATAAATTAAACATAAATATAAAATTTACATGCTATTTAATGCTATATATGTATACTAGTTTTTTACGCGCATTGCGCGATTAGGATAATGCCCAATGTTTTTTTTTAATAAATACTTTAAAGTATATCCATGCAAGATTATATTGGAATTGTTTATGAATAGATAATTGAATGTTGAATTTGCGTATTTAAATAGGTTATTCTAAATTTACAAATGCAAGATAATATTGTCAAGATTGATTCTAATTGTCAATAAAATAATTGTATAGGTATGGTTGAAACCAAATACGGGACATAAGAGAGAGCAAATCAAAATTAGGGCATAAAATATTAAATATATACTAATATTGTTTGAGGAGATTCTGAAAGTAGGATTTATGGTTAGAGTTCTATTAAGACTTTAATATTAGAATTAGAATTAGATTAATGGTGTAGTTATAATTCTATATTAGACTTTAATATTAAAATTAGACTAGCGGTATTTAACGAAAAAGTTAACTAGTAATCATATAATTAAAGATAAATTAGAAAATCTCAAAGAAAAATTAAAATCTTAACAATCTGAGAAGTTCATACATAAGTAATTTAATATCGAATTTGTTTATTTAAATATGTAACTCATAGTATATGAATACAATGTAATATAGGAGATTTATTATAATTGTTACTAAATTTTCTTTTAAATAGTAACCAAGTATATTTGTTGCAAATGGTTCTAACATATTTAATAAATGCATATATATACAAGATCAATGAATGAATTAACGGTACCAGCCTTTTAGGTGTTTTGCTCAGTGTTCAACCATTATTGTTGAATAAATTATTATGGATAAAGAAATTTCTAATTTAAGGAATTTAAATTTAGATGTAGTAAAAATTTAAAAAATTTATAATTATAATGTAACCCAAAGATATTGGACGATTAGTAAATATGATGTAACCCAAAGATCAAAATGCTAAAGAAAGTGTTTGGTTATTCAACTGTTTGAAGCAACAATTTGTTCCAAACTACTGAAAATACAAACATTGCAATTTACTATATTTTCACTTAGCGTTTTTGAGAATGATTTCCCCAAAACACCTCTATATATATATATTTTTTAAATGTTTACTGTAGAGCTATTTCGACTCGAATAACAAGAACCAGTTTCACTGGCTCACTACTTGCCCATCAACGGATGGACAAGCTTAATTTTTAAATTGGAGCCTTAAGGATCCTTTTTAGGAGCCCCAAGGATCCCATGCCACTTTTCCCACCGATGTGAGAAAAGTGGCAAACCTAAGGGGAGCCGAACGTTCGGCTCCTCTTATGTTTTTTTCTTTATTAATTTTATTTCTTTTATTAAATCATTATTATTATTATTATTATTATTATTATTATTATTATTATTATTATTATTATTATTATTATTATATGTATACCCTTAGGTCATTTTACATGTTAATCTAAATAGCTAATTTTTTCAAATATCTTTTTACCAACCATTGATATAATTTGCTGGTCAAATATGCAAATATAATCTGCTAACGCTAACTGTTAACTGCTGATTATCAAACAAGGACATTGCGAGGTAGTTCTCACTTCAATTTTTTGTGTGATTTGAATACTCTCTTTGTCAACAAATCACTCAAGTAGTTAATATGATTGACTTTTTTAATTATATATATTTTTTTAAAAAAATTTCATGGTATTAATAAAATACTTGGTAAATAAATATATATCATTATTTTGTATTATAATTTTGATATTTAATTAAAAACATAGTGCACAAAAAAAAAAAAAAGATAATAGACAATGTAGTGTATAAAATCAATTGATGAATTTGAATGT